TAGGTATCGATACCTGCCCTAATGTATCAGTACTCTCCCTATGCATCGGTACAAAAAAACAACCCCAAAAGTCCCCCAAAATAACCTTAGTATCGATACCATACATATAGTATTGATATTCTCTCAGGTAGTATCGATACTCCCTTAAGTATCAATACCAAATTTAGCTTCAAATGGCCCAAAAATCACCCTTTGTATTTTCAAAGGACTAGTATCGGTATTCCCCTAGGTAATATCAGTGCTACCCTTATAAAATAGCCTAATTCCACCCCGAATATGAATAATATCGATATTGTTCATACAATATGGATACTACAACCTAGAAAGACATTGTTTCACATGGGAATCACCCTCAAACTCACCCTCAAACACTTATTTTAAGGTCTAAGCTAATTATTAAAGCTTATGAAAGTCATTAGAGGTCATCATACATCATTTTTACACTAAAGTAACGTCCAAAACATACATAACAACAAATCAAACACCCAAGCCCCCACATGTTTTTTCATCTCATACAAGCAATTCATGTTAAATGTTATGCACTACAAATAGTATGGAAGAGATATAGTATGTTACGTCAACTTCCAAGCTATCCAAATACCTATTAAGCTCACCATATCACCAAGTCTTCCCAACTCTTGCTCTTTGGGAGGGGTCTTTACACCACACTTTCACCACCCAAAAGCCAATCAATGTTTCCAACATGAAAAGGAATGACACTAGTTGTTAAAAAATACTATAACACATGAAAATTGAATGAAAACCATGAAATGAGACTTTGGAACCCAAAGCCTCCTAAACTTCCAAATGAGCTCATGGCCACTATTAAAGAAGATAGTGAACTTATCTTGGAGCTTGTGATCTAAGGATCACAAATCTTACCATGGATTTTCTGATGGAGTGAAAAAGATGAAGAAAAGAGAAACCTTTGACTCTAGCTCTTGCTTGGATGAAGAGAGAAGAAGAAAGAAAGAAAGAAAAAGATGAGACTGAGAAGTGTTGGGAGGAGATGAGAAAAATGAGTATGTATATTACCCCAAATAGCCCAACGTGAATTAGCAAAAAATCCTCCCCATATCAGCCATGATTTTACTCAATGAGAAAATTACACTCTAGGTCCCTCTCATATCATCCTAAGCTTAAAAATTTCCTTTTTTATCTCCAAAAAGATCAATTTCTTACTCGATTGAACTCGTATTCGAAGAGATGAACCTCTATGCTATAATAAATCTATTAAATAAATTATTGAGTCAACACTAAAATCTTAACTCAAAAATTTGGGTTGTTACATAAATCACTCATTTGCGAATATGCCTAGTAGGTACCAACTTATCTTTCACATGTGGTGGCAGAGATACTTAATGGAGGTGTTGCCCATCCTCTCCATTCATATGTTCGAGCCCATGCTTCAACTTTGGTTGCCTCAAGTCTAAATTGAAGTAGGTGAAGAAGGCATGCTTCGTAAAAGTAAGTCCTTGAGTGTTGTCGGCTTCCTATTTTCAACCCTCATAAGAAGAGTGATCCGAGTAAGCAAAGATCGTCATGTTGTCTATGTTTTCTTTCGAGGGATCTTTGATCGCACATACAAGCTATGTAGCTCAATTTTGTAGGTGTCGGCCGAAAATAACCAAATACGTCGAGGGGGATTTTAGTACAAAGATGGGATGTGATATTGGTTTTTTTTCCTTTAATGGTGTATTTCAACTTATTCATTTTTGTTAGGAGATGTTCCTTTCTCATCGCACCAATTATTGGTGAGAACAAATGACTTATATCAGTCGTTGATGGTTCACCCCTTATGGTTTAGACAGAGTTCCATAACCAGTGGTTATACGATAATTGGTCGGTGTTTGGGTCCTCTGTCTCCATTAGGATGGATATGGGGAGTCAATAAGAATCGGTTCTAGATCATTCTCTCAATCTTGGTTGAAGCTTTACAGCGACCCTTAGTGTTGATATCAGGTGTAGAGTCATGATAGCTACTAACATATTGGCAGACCTGATAGATACGACAAATTGATAGTAGATTTTAGCTCTAACAGGTCACGTGAATTTGACAGAGATCATATCAAGAGGTTACAACTTTTAGAGAGGTACAAAGACCTTAAGTCCTTATGTTTGAATATGTTCTTCCGAAATTTTAACTAAGAAGAAATTATTTGAATGACTTTAAGATGCGGAAATCAATCTTGGAGAAGAGATTTACAAGAAACACAAAAATATCTATTTGTTATTTTTTAATATAAATTAAGTACAGGTAAAAATATTTCAACTGTGATTAATTTCACCACTTATACATCAAATAATTATATGTAAATCAAATGTCATTGTGGGATGATATTAGACGGTAAGGTTCATTTGGAGTAGGCTACCAATAAAAAAGGAATCGAAGTGCCACAAAAGGACGAGGGTTTTGGTGGCTCAACCCAATATTAATATGATGAAGACTCGTTGTAATTAAAGAAAACATAAAACAAAGCGTCCTATTAGTTGTTTTCTTCCAGGTATAAGCAATTAGGCATAGGAGATATTATTCTTATATGAAACCAACGTAATTATTGATGGGAATAGTAGCAGCAAGCCAAGGTAAAGTTACGTTGTAGATAATTACGTGGGTTTTGGGGTTTGGAAAAGGAATATTATTGTATCATGTGAAGAATATTGTACAGTACGTAGGTTGAAGTGGGACTCCATTCCCTAACTTTGACTTCCACCAGCTAGATTTTCAATTAATTTTTTTATTTCGAATCATGAGGGGTATATAATTTTTTTTTTATTTTGAATCGAGAGGAGTATATAATGATCCTCTAAAAACTTTAAATTATCTTATGTTTTACATATTTTTTATCGATAATTTATTTTCAATTCTTAAAATTTTATAAATTTTTCTCTTAAATTTTAAAATTTCTTTCCTAACATAAAATTTTTGCTTAATATTGTTTCTTTATATATGTAGGGTAAAGTATACAAATAGTCTATCGACTATAGGGTGATACTTTGTTGGGTCCTTCGACTATTAAAAGTTACAAAATGATAATTTGACTATAGTGTATTACTTTGTTGAGTTCTCTAACTATTAAAGTTACAAAATGGTCCTTCGACTATAGGGTATTGCTTTGTTGAGTCTCTCGACTATTAAAAGTTACAAAATGGTAATCATACTATTTAGTATATTTCAAACCCGTTCTTTTCCGTTAAAAAATTAAAAACAATCCAAGTTGGATGTTAACTTGTTGATTGAGATATGATATTTTTTTAGATTTTGGGATTATATTTTATCATATCTCACTCATCAGGTTAACATCAAACTCAGAATGTCGTCAATTTCTTAACGAAAAAGGACGAGTTTGGAACATACTAAATAGTCGAATGATCATTTTATAACTTTTAATAGTCGATGAACTTAACAAAATAATATCTTATAATTAAATGATCATTTTATAATTTTTAATAGTTGATAAACTCAACAAAAAATTACTTTATAGTTAAAACACTATTTATGTGCTTTACTAGTATATATATTATATAAAAGAGGTTTTGGATTTAATCATGGTTTTTAGAACCGGACCGGTTAGTGAACCGGTCATGCTACCAGTTCACTGGTTCAACCGGTCGAACTGGTCTGACCGATCGGAAGAACCGGACGACGTCATAATTATTTAAAAAATTAAATAAAAATACCAAAAATATTAATAAAAAATAATTTTTTATATCACAAGTCATATTCAAAGCAAGTCATAACATATATAAGTTAAAAACCATAAAATCAAGTGAAACAAAATAATAACAGTTTAACTGCAACATAATATTTAAGGTAAAACATATTAAATAATAAATATAATTATATAACTATAATTAAAAAATAAATTTGGGGTTAAAAAAATCATAACAAAATGATATTGTTTGGTTTAATTTTTTTTAAAAACAATCTCACATGACTAAGAAACATAGAAGAGCATCCCAAAGGTCTAAAGAGAAAAAATATGAGAACAAAACAATCTCACATTGCTAAGAAACATAGAAGCGCATCACAACTAAGTTCTATAAATAATAGAGGTAATTTGACATTCAAAATCATGGAGCCTTTTGGTGAGTATTGAGTGAACTATTCTTTCACTTCAATCAAGCTCGAATTTTAGGCTTCAATCGAGCTTCTAATTTTTTTTTTGAGTTCAAGCCTTTTTGAGTTCAAGTTTCAATATTATATTTCGAGTTTGAGTTGAACTTGATAATTTTTAGCTTGTGAGTTTGAGTTGAGTTGAGCTTACTTTTAAAGTTTTCAAGTTCGAGTCGAGCTCAGCAATACTCGAGTTCGACTTGGCTCGTTTAACAAACGACGCTGTTTGGTTTAATTTTTTTTTTTAAAAAAACAAAAATCCTAGTTTTTTCCGATTTTCAGCCGATCCGGTTCGAACGGTTCAGCGGTTCTGGCCGGTTCATTAATAACGATTCAATCGATTTAGATTGAATCAGTAACGATTCCCAGTTAAATCAACCGATCCAATCCGATCCGATTTTCAAAACAGAAGATTTAATTCGTTGTGAGCTAACACACTTTTCAAAGTTTATAACAAAAGAAAGACACCTTCCCCACAATACTAACTCATTGTGTTAAAAAAATTATTTGTATCGTCAATGTCCCTGACTGGGTTTGACCTTGCTAATTCAAAAAAAATATTAATAGTTGATGAAATTGATTCATTTATGAGCACACCTGTCGACAGTAGTACAGTTAGAACCAAACCTCAATCTCCACCGAGCTGCCTCCATTCCCAAACCTTGTTCCCAATACAGCAACTCATTTATGGCACCCTACTGACACACCCCAACGGTCCCTCTATCAATCTATCCATTCTCTGATCCTAGCACCACTTCTTTTTAAAGTTTTCACCCTTTTTAAGGCAAATTATTACCAACTTCCAACGCGGCTTTGATAAATGATGTTCACCATGTTTATCAGATAAAGCAACGTTCATGCAATGCTCTGTTTCTGTCAAGAGATGGACGCCATGAAAAAGGGTTTCTTCTTCCTACTGAGTACTCTTCTGTTGTTTTTAGCTTCTGTTGTATGTCAAAACCAGGAGTTGCCGCTTTTGCTGGAGATTAAGAGGTCGTTTGTTGAAGACCCTCAGGGTGTTCTGCACGACTGGTCCTCCTATGGTGATTCCAATTTCTGTGGTTGGACTGGTGTCACTTGTGGGTTTAGCTCCTCCGTGAACTCAGCCCATGTTGTGAGTTTGAACCTTTCCGGGTTTGGACTCGGTGGCTCGATATCAGCCTCGCTTGGTGAGTTGAAGAATCTACGACACCTTGATCTTTCCTCTAACCGACTTACGGGCCCCATTCCAACCACCCTCTCTAACCTTTCCTCTATGGAATCTTTGCTTCTGTATTCAAACAAGCTCTCTGGACCCATCCCACCTCAGCTGGGTTCACTCTCCAGCCTCCGAGTCATGCGAGTTGGTGACAATGAGCTCACTGGCCCCATTCCGTCGTCATTCGGAGAACTTGTCAACTTGGTCACCCTCGGCTTGGCTTCATGCCGTCTCACAGGCTCAATTCCCCCCGAGCTGGGTCAACTCGCCGGACTTGAGGACTTGATTCTGCAGGATAACCAACTCAACGGCCATATTCCACCTCAGCTTGGGAACTGTTCAAGCCTCAACGTCTTCACTGCAGCTTTCAACAACCTTAATGGATCCATCCCACCAGAATTGGGACGTCTCAAGAACCTTCAAACTCTCAATCTGATAAACAACTCTCTTTCAGGGAATATACCAAGCCAACTCGGTGAATTGAGCGAACTCGATTATCTCAGTTTAATGGGGAACCATCTCGAGGGTGCAATACCAAAGTCATTAGCGAACTTGGGCAATCTTCAGACTCTTGATTTATCGTTAAACAAGCTCACAGGAGGCATTCCCGAAGAATTAGGCCAGTTGAGTCTGCTGGTGTACTTGGTTCTATCAAACAACAATATTTCGGGTACAATACCAAGAAATATATGCTCCAACACTAGCCATTTGGAGCATCTGATCCTTTCGGATGTTCATCTTTTCGGTGAAATCCCAGTGGAATTGAGAGATTGTACATCTTTGAAGCAGCTTGATTTGTCCAACAACACGCTTAATGGATCAATACCAGTTGAGCTTTATGAGCTGTATGAACTGACCGATCTCTATCTCCACAACAACAGCCTGGTTGGTTCCATTTCTCCATTCATAGCAAACCTCACCAACTTGCAAACACTTGCTCTGTTTCACAATGATTTAGAAGGCAAACTTCCTGGAGAAATAGGAATGCTGGGTGCACTTGAAATCTTATATCTGTATGAAAATCGATTGAGTGGACACATCCCTTGGGAGATCGGTAATTGTTCGAGCTTGAAAATGGTGGACTTCTTTGGTAATTGTTTTACCGGGGAGATCCCGGTTACTTTTGGTAGGCTGAAGGAGCTGCAGCTGCTTCATCTGAGGCAGAATGAGCTTGTGGGAGAAATTCCAGCCACATTGGGTAACTGCCATCACCTTACTATCCTGGACATTGCAGACAATCAACTATCTGGTGTCATTCCCACTAGTTTCGGGTTACTTCGAGCCCTGGAGCAGTTCATGCTTTACAACAATTCACTTGAAGGTAATCTCCCAGCCTCATTGATCAATTTAGCCAACCTGACAAGAATCAATCTCTCCAAAAACAAAATGAATGGGAGCATTGCTCCATTATGTGGTTCACGTTCTTTCCTTTCATTTGATGTAACTAACAATGCATTTGATGGTGAAATTCCTGAGGAGCTTGGGAATTCACCTACTCTTGATAGACTAAGATTAGGGAGAAACAGATTCACCGGAAGAATCCCAGTATCGTTGGGCATGATTCGTGAACTGTCGCTACTAGACCTCTCAGGTAATTTGCTCACTGGACCTATACCGGATGAGCTCAAGCTGTGCAGGAAATTGAGTCATGTTGATTTAAACGACAACTCGCTTTCTGGACTGATACCACCATGGCTGGGTGATTTGCCTCAACTTGGAGAGCTTAGGCTCTCCTCCAATCATTTTTTCGGGGCTCTCCCTCAACAGCTTTTCAATTCTTCCAAGCTTCTGGTACTGCACCTTGAAGGCAACTCGATCAATGGAACTCTCCCTGGTGAAATCGGTAATTTGTCGTCTCTTAATATACTCAACCTCAATGGAAACCGACTTTCTGGGCCCATTCCTAAAACCATAGGCAAGCTAAGCAATCTATATGAGCTGCAGCTCTCAAGGAATGGTTTCAATGGTGATATACCAACTGAGGTTGGGCAACTCAAGAATCTCCAAAGCATTCTAGACCTCAGTTGCAACAACCTCACCGGAAATATACCACCTTCTATCGGATTGCTATCCAAGCTTGAAGCCCTTGATCTTTCTCACAATCAACTCATAGGAGAAGTCCCCCCTCAAATTGGTGACATGAGCAGCTTGGGGAAGCTTAATCTCTCCAACAACAATCTCCAAGGAAAATTAAGCAAACAACTGTCGCACTGGCCGGCTGAAGCATTTGAAGGGAACTTGGATCTTTGTGGAAGCCCTCTTGATGGTTGTGACAACCTTGGATCCAGCAAGCAGCGATCACTAAGTGAAACATCTGTGGTGGTGATATCAGCGATTTCGACTTTAGCTGCAATTGCGCTGCTTGTGCTGGTAGTAATCATCTTCTTGAAACAAAGGAGAGAATATTTCAAGAGAGGCAATGAAGTGAAATGCACCTACTCTTCTTCCAGTTCTTCCCAAGCAAGGAGAAGGCTACTCTTCCATCACGGGGCTACTAAGCAAGACTACAAATGGGAAGACATCATGCAAGCCACGAAAAATCTAAGCAACGAGTTTTTCATTGGCTCTGGAGGGTCTGGAACAGTCTACAAAGGCGAATTTCGAGACGGAGAAACTGTGGCCGTCAAAAAGATCCTGTGGAAGGAAGATCTCCTACTGGATAGAAGTTTCACAAGAGAGATCAGGACACTTGGGAGGATAAGGCACAGACATTTGGTGAAGTTGATGGGGTATTGTATAAACAGAGTAGCTGGCTTCAATCTCCTGATCTACGAGTACATGGAGAATGGAAGTGTGTGGGATTGGTTGCATAAGCAGCCGGTAAATATCAAGAAGAAGAGCCTTGATTGGGAGGCTAGGATAAGGATTGCGGTCGGATTAGCACAAGGAGTCGAGTACCTCCATCATGACTGTGTGCCGAAGATTGTTCATAGGGACATCAAATCAAGCAATGTGTTGCTAGATTCCAACATGGAAGCACATTTGGGAGATTTTGGGCTAGCAAAATCGGTCGTGGAGAATTATGACTCCATCTCCGACCTGGAGTCAAACTCATTGTTTGCAGGGTCTTATGGTTATATTGCACCAGGTAGTACTATCTTCAATATTTTTTCATACATGGTTTAAAGCTCAAAAAGTTCCGTTCCTGTTTGCAGAGTACGCTTATATGCTCAAGGCAACCGAGAAGACCGACGTTTACAGTATGGGAATCGTGTTAATGGAGATTGTAAGTGGCAAAATGCCAACTGATAACCTTTTCGGTGTAGATATGGACATGGTGAGATGGGTGGAGATGCGTATCCAAATGCAAGGTTCAGATCGTGGGGAGCTGATAGATCCTACACTGAAACCGCTCTTACCTTGTGAGGAGTCTGCAGCATATCAGGTGCTTGAAATAGCACTGCAGTGCACGAGAACGATAACGCAGGAGAGGCCGTCTGCCCGTCAAGCCAGTGATCTCCTCATTAATGTATTGAACAACAGGAAGGTGGTTACTGAAAAGGTGAATATGGAACCCTACAAATGACCTAGTTTCAAATCAAAATCATCTCATATTGTGGGAACTTGCATTTAAACACATTATTATTCTGTAAGTTATGCAAAAGTTGGAGTGACTGTGTGAGGGTTAAATATATCCAGCCTTTAGAAGAGTTGTTGAGAATTCTTTCATAAATAGGCGTAAAGATCCATTGTCTAACAATGGTGGTGGAATTGAACACCAAGCAATTATTTTCTTCTCTTCCATGTACAATCCGGCAAGCATCCATGGAAACAAAGAAAGAAACTGTCCAAAATCATCCAACTATAAGCATGACGTAGAGCAAGGTCTAACTGTTACCGCTAGAGACGAACACATGATTTTATATCGAGGGAGACAAATTAATAAAATTTCAGGGAGGATGAAAATATATTATCAACTAAAGGTATAAAGAAAAAAATTTAAAATATATAGAATTTTAAAAATTTTAGGGAGGAACGATTGTCTCCACCTGCTCCCCTCAATCTATCTCTGATTATTGCTATCATTTATCAGGTAACAAAATATTCCAACTTGGTATTTAGGAAAGAGATTCAGTGTGGGTTTGGGTAAAGTAACAACAATTCAATAATGAAGATTTATAAGAACATATTTGTTTCATAATATATATATAAATGAACATATCAATATTTCTAATGGTAACCATTAGATATTCTTATATAGCATAAATTTTGGTGTACCGCTATAGATATTTTTCTATTGTTTTATAACTTTTGTACAACTTCAGGTATTTGAGTATGGTATGCAAATGAATTATTTTAACTTCAGAATTTTACTTTTCTTGCCTATGTTGGCTGTGTCAATATTTGGTTAAAACCTATATGTAGTATACCTGAAAGTTAATTTTAGTCTTTCTACTGTTTAAAAAAAAAAGGGATGTTTTAGTTCTTTATTATATCTAAAATTTTAATTTAGTCCCTCTATTATAAAAAGAAATATTTTAATCCTTTGTATGTTTGAAAAGTGAATATTTTGGTTTAAAATTTTAAAGTTATAGTTAGTCAACTTAATATTTTGAATTTTAGCACCTTTTTAAGTCATTGACAATTTTAAAATGGAACAAAATGATTCCACTTGAAAAGGGAAAGTGATTTATTCGATTTATACTTTAGCAGTGAATAAAATAAGAGTGATCTATGTCTATTAGTACCTGACACATGTTCAATTATGATTGGATAACTTTTTTAAAATAAAATAAAAAATATAATACTTTTCATATATTTCATATTTTATAACTTTAATAAAATTTTAAATATTTTGTATTTTTGTATCATCCTTTTCAATTAAACCCTTACTCTTACTCCAAATATAAAAATTCTAAGAAAATTTAATGTACATTTTTTTCAATTAAACATTTTAAATATTTTTTATTAGATTGGGGTGATTACAAGGTAATATTTGTTTAGGATTTTTTTAACCAATAGGCAATGGATGCACACACACCCTTAAGACATAAATGTTCAAACTCGAGATCTCGAGGAGAAATACTCCCTTTAACCATTGATATTGCTTAATAAGTTCATTTTTAATATTATTATAAGTGGAGATAACAGAGTCTGGAGTTGAGTAGGAATTAATTTTGTATTTATATTTCATAAGTATTTACAAATTTTATGTAAATATTCACACAAAAAATATTTTGAAAGAGAATAATTGAGTTCAAAATTGAGAAGAACCTAAAAAGAGTTTAAACCAAAACATTTAAACTAATCGACAATAATTTTAATATTTTAAACCAAAATGTTAAATTCCTAACAAGAAAGACCTTATCAAGCCACACGGCCCACACCAAGCTCAAATCATTCATCTATCAAACATAACTAAACATTCTAACCTCTTATCTCCAAATGCATGCTCATTGCAACAAGCAACACAACCATACCATTATATCCACCATTTTTCTCTACATATGAAAGTGCGAAAGTAAAAAAAGCAAATACATCACCCATGTAGTCAAGAAAATCAATGCCATGTAAACCTGCTTCAGCATCTCAGCTTCATTTGAAAATAAACATAAGATATTGACCCAGTTATTTTACTTAAATGCTAACTAAGCCTCATGCCTAAACATCCTTCTTTAGTGTAACTCCAATAAATAATAAAAGGGAAAAAACTGTTTCCCATCAGAAAAGTCATGCTCTTCAATCAGGAAGGTAATTTTTCCCTGTAGATTAAGCCTAGAAAGTGAGGCATTGAATCAATTTCCAAATACAACAAAGTCTTATGAAGACTACCATATTAATATCACATACTTCATAATTGAATAGACAACAGAACTTAAGGTTTGCAAAAAAAAAATTACCATTCACTGAGCTTTTGGATTTAATCTGTAGAAGGGAAAGCGGGAAAATGTTAAACAGAGGATTCAAGTTATGCTTAAGGTGGATGATATATATATATATATATAGATATGGATATAAAGATTCATACATCATGTGCAACTGAAGTGCACAATCAACCTAGCAGCAGCATCTTTTAATTTATAAACCAGATAATTTAGCCATTGCCAGTTTGCCACGACAAATCATTGGCAGGGAATAACACATGAAACATAATAAGATTGGCATCCGAGAAGTAAGAGTTATAGGTTCACATTATCACAGAAGAAAAAGGGCAAACATTACACAATCAAACAAATGCAGTCCAATAAGCTTAAAAGCAGTATGAGGGCATTTTGATCGATATCACATTAGAAAGACAGTAAAACTAATAATTACCCCAAAACAAAACATAAGGACAAAGCTTAAGGCACTTTGATCGATATCACATTATTCTTTTTTGAATAATCTGGGGTGATGATAAGGTAGTATTGTTCAGAAATCTCTTATCCTAAACCTTCAGGGAGAACAGCACTCCCTTTTACTACCGACAGCAAATGACATCTTCATTTTATTTTTCTTCTAAGAGAAACAAAGAAAATGCACCTATTGGAAATTAAAGCACATTAGAAATAAGCACGCAGTAAATATAGCATCCGAAGTAATACAATAACAGCAGTAGTACTTTGGTTACATATATAAAATGCATAGACAGAGACATGAGATAATCGAAATACTGAAAAAACAATCCCAGAATTTATTTTATTAGTAATAACAACTATGCCACTTTTTTCAAAGGGATTCTTTCTTAACGTTGACTGCAGGATTCACAGGAATGTTAACAAACCCCATCTCTTTAGGACTAATTTCTTCGTTGAACTCATAATCCTCATGGTACTCGCGACGGGCCATGAAGATCATCCAGATCAAGTAGATAGTGGCGGCAGTGAGAGCGCCGCAGCCGACACCGAGGAGGAGAGCGGCGACCACGCTGAGAATGTCCCTGCTGCGATCACGGAGAGAGCTGAAGACGTGGGAGGGCTTGGGATCTTCGTGTATGGGTAAGGGATTCGATTGGGCGATTTCAGTGAAGACGGTGACGAATCGGGACGAGACAGCGTGGACAGGGTCGTTAGGGTTATGTAAAGAGATGGAATAGGAGGAGACGAGGAAGGTCTTGCAGGGCCTTGCCGCCGTGGCTGAGATTGAAAAGAGGCCCAACGCCATTATCGCCACCGCTGCGGCTTCCGCCAACAGAGACTCATTCCACCGTCCCATTCTTCCTTCTTCAATGCTTATTCTTTTCTGTTAATTCTATTTCTTCCCTTTGGCGACCAATTTCGATTCCAATATCGCTTCTTTTTCTACACATCCGCTTATAAGTAGTAGTTGACTAAGCACCGGTTAAATTGATTTGATAAACTGAGACACTATAAATTATAAATTAAAGATTTATTAATAAATTAAATATTACTAATAATTAATCCAAAAATAATAATAAAATCTCATTTTGTATTTAAAAGTTGTATATAAAATATAAGACTTAATTGAAATATATGTCCCCAAACTATAATCTTCATTTTAAATTAGTCCTTAAACTTTTAAATATTCCAATTTCATCCCTAAAGTATGCCTCTTATTCTAAATTAGTCCTTAAACTTTTGAACATTATAATTTCATCCCTAAACTATGACCTACTTTTAAATTAATCCCCAAACTTTTGAATATTTCAATTTTATCCCTAAATTCATCCAAATATGTAATTGGTTTCAACCATAATTTAACATAAACTTTATTTTTTTCAAACATATAACACTATGACTTGACCTAACGATTTTATTAACAAGAGATGTGATCAGTATATATGAATAGTTTGGGATGAATTTGGAATGTTTAAAAAGTTTGGGGACCAATTTAGAATGATAGTCATAGTTTATGGATGTAATTGAAATATTAAAAAGTTTAGGGACCAATTTAAAATAAATATCATGCCTTGAGGATATGTGATACAATTAACTCAATATATAACAACATCTATATAGTAAGAGGGTGCAAAAATGGGTTAAACTGATTAAATCCAATAAAATAAATTGATTTTTTATCAGTATTATTAATTCTTAAATCAATTAAGTTTAGTAAGATTAAAATCAATCATGGTGTCCAAATTAATTATCGTAACGGTGAGATTAAAAATAACAATGAAATATATAGATTTAAATACAATTGTACAGTGGTGGATTTTAAAAAGAATATTTGGAGTGTCCTGCATAAAATTTTAAAAAATTGTACTAGTCTAAATTAAAAAATTTATAAAGGGCTTAATTTAAATTTGTTAAAATATTTGGGGTTTAACTGAAAGTTTAAAAAATTATAAGACGTAGTGTAGTAGTGTGAAATTTTAAAAGTTTTAGAAGTGAAATTAATTTAAAAATTCAAAAATTTCAAAACATAATGAAACTTTTGAAAATTCTTAAAAGAGTTAAATTACAATTTTCATCAGTGAATTTTACTCTCCCTCTTATTTAGGATATGTTCTTCTAATTATCACGGTATGGTGAAAATAAAACTAGGGTAAATTATAATTTTCATCATTGAATTTTATTCTCTCCTATTTTGTTAACTGAACTTTAAAAGTTTTCGATTTTCTCACTAAACTTAATACATTGGATTTTTTTGTCACTGAACTTTAATCTCTCTCTTATTTTGGTCACTTCGCCGTTAAATAGTTAACGGCATTAAAAATGATGCAATTTAAAAGAAAATTCACCAAAACGACGTCATTTTGCATCTATATAACAACTCATTTTAATGTTGTTAATTATTTAACGACAAAGTAACAAAAAAACTCCAATGTATTAAGTTTAGTAAGAAAATTGAAAAGATTGAAAGTATAGTAAGTGAAATAGGAGAGAAAATATCAGTTACCAAATTTGAAATTTACCCATAAAACTAATAGAATTAAAGATATTATATTAAAAATTATATATGATAAAATTGTAAACTATTTAACCTTATAGATTTATGAATAATAACATTAAATTATAATTTTATGGATAATATGTATAATGATATTTGTGTTTTTTAATTATTAATGTAATTATATTAGGCAAAACTTTCGAGATAATGTTCTGGAAGAAATTAATTCACGAGCTAATGCACTCCCAAGATTAATTGCTCAAATAGGGTGAAATCTACAGTGTTGGTCGTAGGTCGCCATGCACTCCGGGCGACCTACCCTTGCTCAAACAGAGAGAATGACCGTGTTGCATGGCCATGCACGTCACAACACATAGGTCGCCATGCCCTCCGGGCGACCTTGTAGGTCCCCATGTACTCCGGGAGACCTACCCTCGCTCGGCTTCCCTCGGATTCCCTCGCATAGCTCGCTCGGTTGCCCTCAGATGCCCTCGCATAGCTCGTTCGGATGGCCTCGGTCGGATGGCCTCGGATGCTCTCGGATGGCCTCGGATGCCCAGCGTGTTGGGACGTGCATGGCACATGCAATCTCTTGTAGCTCGCCGGGAAGACATGACGACCTATGGCCAACACTGTGGATTTCACCTTATTTGAGCAATTAATCTTGGGAGTGCTTTATCTCGTGAATTAATTTTTTCCAGAACATTGTCTCGAAAGTTTTGCCAATTATATTATTTTATTTAAGGTTAAAGTGTATAAATGGTCAATAAAATATGTTAGAAATAATTTTTTATCATTAAATTTTCAAAAATTATAAACTTGTGTGTAAATATTCTATTTAATTATAAAATGGTCATTCCGTTATTTTTTTAAAAAAAATCGTTGCGTTGTTAGTAGGTTATATTTTATTTGGTCCCTCAATTGTAACTAAAATTATATTTGATACCTTTTTAATGTTTCTAAACAATAATTCCAAAAAATTTACAAAAAATCATTTTAAAAATATACTAGAATTTGTCGGAATCGTCTTTCGGTTGGGCCCCGGAATCGGGCTTCGACTTAGGAAAATAGATTTGGAGTCGCCACCGACCATTTTAAAATGAATTTAGGTGGGTCGGACACCATCTTACCTGATCTGCGTTTTACCAAAAATGTGTCGGGTTCGGGAGTCGGTTACGGTCAAGGAAGGATTAGCACCCTTGAACCGCCCTTTCGGTACCAATTAATTTGTCGGTTGTCTTTAATTGCGAAAATTAAAATTAAAATTAGAATTTAAAACATTCGATTCAAATACTTACCTTTGATCGATTGAAATTACGACTTAAAAAGTTTAAAAAGAATGTTAAATTGAAAAATAAATAAATAAATATTAAATAAAAAGAGGAAAAAAAAGATTTTTCTTAAAAAATGTTAAAAATAGATAATTTAAAAAATAAAAAAAATCAAAAACTATACTGTATTATAAAAAAAACTCAGAATCAAAATGAGTGTCTACCAGAATCATAATGTTACCATTTAACAACAACAATCTTGCGTGACAACAGCGAACCGTTTCCATGACATGTCTCGCTTTAAGTAATCCACAGGATCCACAAGTTGCACAAGGTAGCTTCCCTTTTCCATCACATTCTGTGCATATGCTCGAATGGAATTCAAGGCTGCCTTACAGTAATACTCCACAACCTCTGGTATTTCTGAGGTTTCAAGTGGTCGAGGTTTTGGATATATGCCATAGCTCCCATCACGCATAAGAATTCCCCACCGGTCTGAGATGAGTTTATCTGTTGATGATATCGACGCCACTCCACCAGGTTGATACACTGAATGTGATGCTCGGCCTACATGCCACAGTTGACGGAAAATGATGCCTCCCTTGGCATGAACAGCATCCACAATCGGCTTCCATGCCTCCACCTATTCTTCATGGTAGGTTCCAGGAACATGAGGAAACCCTACGCCGGTGTTGAAGATCAGTGTCCCTTCGGTGATGAGAAAGATGTCGGGAGTCGTCCTCTGGGTGTAATATTCAGCAAACACCGGCCCTGGCATTCCATTCAACACCCTGAATCTCGTCATAGGCGCCAGAACCACCCTGTGAGAAAGGTTCAACTTTTCCATCTTGTAAGGAGAGAACAACGTAGGGGCTCCTTGAGATTGGGATTCTGTCATTGTTAACTTTCCTTCTTCTTTTCCTACAAAACTTGATGGTAAGAAAATGGATTCATTAATGGTATACTGCCATTAGGAAACCCACACTTAACAAATATAAAAAAGAGATAATATGAACATAAGCTGAAAATTGAAAATTCTTAGATTGGGAAATGGGTGTCTCTCTCTCTTCAATTCTCTTTTTCCTCCCAAGCATTTGCCATGTTTCCATAATACGCAGCAAAGTGAGGCTCAATTTGAAGGGCTTCTTCATTTTTGGCAGTGCACATCATAATCATGCACCATTGGTGAGCTAGGGCCGACTGCATATCTTCATTAACTTCAAGTGAATCATGTCCTTTGTGAGGCACAATACCAAGGGAAGAAGCAGGCTCCTGTTTGGCCCCATAAACGACAGCTTCTTCAAGTTGTAAGAGGAAGAGCCTGACGACTCAGAAATGCCGGTATTGTTCAGAAAACAACTTCTTCGATCCTTGCAAGCAGGGCCAGAATCTCGTTCCTGTGGGCAGCAAGTGTGGAATCCAAACGTTCACGGAGGCTGTGTACGCAAGTGAGAGCACGCTCCGCCATTTCTTCGAACTTGAACTTTCGAGAACCAGAACCAAGGAAGAAGAAGATTACTAATGAGAATGGTAATACAAGGAACCAAAAAATTAATGAACGCAAAATAATAATAATAATAATCAAAGGATCCAATGAAATGGATCAGAACCAATAAATAAATACATAAATCAAATGCAACTTTCCAGAGAGCAAAAAAAAAATTTCGTCGCCTCGTTTCTTCTTCCCCGTGGTTCCTGGCTGGTTCAAGCATGGTTGCAGCAGTTTGGTTTCTTTGGGATACATGAAACTGACGAAGGTTGTTGATTCTCGAGCCATGAGCGTTTGCTTCGTTCAACACTTGGTAGATGAACATGTCTTGAGAACCATTCTCGTTAAACGACAGCTGATGATTACTCTGGGACTGGGAGACTTCTTAGCTCTCTCTAGCATTTTTTTTAATTCCAGTAGCCCCCTCAAATCTAAACGAAAATAGGGGATAAAGAAGAAAAGGGAAATGGGTTCCGTGTAATGGCCGATAGGCCATAGCACCTCTCTCTCTTCAGTTCCTTCTCCTTTTTATTGGCACGGTGATGGAGCAAGTGCCTCACCTAGATTAGTGGAGTTGTGGTTCAAATATGGCCAGGGTTGTTGTTGGTTGGTGTTACTTCGATTCGATG